TTTTTTTTTTTTTTTTTTTTGAGACAGGGTCTGCTTAGTCAGGGTTAGTATTGCTGTGATGAAACACCATGACCAAAAAGTAAGTTGGAGAGAAAAAGGTTTATTTGGCTTATACTTCCACATCATAGTCCATTACTGAAGGAAGTCAGAACAGGAACTCAAACAGGGCAAGAACCTGGAGGCAGCCGATGCAGAGGCCATGGTGGGGTGTTGGCTTGCTCAGCCTGCTCTCTTACAGAACTCAAGACCACCATCCCAGCATCCCTTCTGTGCCCCGTCCTGTGCCAAGCTTGCAAGGCTCCCCAGGTTGCTCCCTGCTGCTGTCTATCACACCACCCAAGCCCTCCTCCCACCGCTGTCCACATACACCACCCTGGTTGTTTCTCACTGGCTGAGTCTCCTCTTGCTCCTTCAGGCCAGCCTGAAGCTAGAGAAGTACTTGAAGGGCGCAAGCACAATCATCTCCTCACCAGATGTACCAGCCAGAAGGCTGTAGTATAGAGCCATCAGGAGGTGAAGGCAGTCCTTCTGATGTTAGCAGTCCTGGGTCCAGAGGGCTGAAGGCTAGGACAGTGAGATGGGCTTATAGCTCCAAGCCCCTCCAAGACAGGGATGACTATGGGCCTCAGAAGCAGAGACTGATGGCTTGGAGGTGTGTGAGTCCAACCTTCAGACAGCCAGGGAGGATGTGATCTCCAAAATTCCCTTCAGAATTATAATCAAGTTACCAAACAATCAAACAATAGAAATACAAAAAGCATCCTCAGGGCAGGTGAGATGGCTCATCAGGTAAAGGTTCTTGCTGTGCAAGCCTGGCAACCTGAGTTCTACCCCAGAACCTAAAAAAAGATGGAAAAAGAAAACCAGTTCCACCAAGTGGTCCCCTGACCTCCATCTGCACATTATGGTAGGAATGCTCACACACACAGTAAATTTTCACATGTGCCCCATGGACTGCAAGTTGGACACTCCTCCTAGGGATGCAGGTTACTGGCTTACAGCCAGCAGCAGCAGCATTAGCAGCAGCTATGCTACAGCTCCTAAACTCTGGGTGCCTGCATCCTTCACGGGCTGGCAGCTCCCTGGAACCTGCAGTGACTAGCCTCTTGCCTGGGCCTCCTACTGCTAAAATTGCTGCTGTGGAGCAGTGGCTACTTCTGCTTTTGGGGAAAAGCCTTTCATTGGACCTAATACTGCAACACCAGAAAGCAGCGAAGGAGGGTGTTGTAGCATGCAGATGAAGCACTGTATCCACGCCAATCACAACAGTTTCCAGTTACAGACTTTTCCACTGAGTTCTAAGGATTGAAGATGGCCAGTCAGTGAAGGCATCCAGGCTTGGGCCTGGCTGGTTGTCTGATGCAGCTGTGCCTGGGGCAAGGCTTCCTAGGGGCAGGAGCATGGCTTATATACAGTGGTCCCTTGGAGTTGGCATGGTCTTAGCATGTTCCCCCAATGGACCATTCTGAAGCCATGCCTGGTTTATGTGGTGCTGGGACTAGAACCTGGAACTTTGTGCATGCTAGGCAAGCACTTTACTGAACTACAGCCAAGCCTTTATTTATTTGGCAACTAGATATTATTTAGGCTCCTCCCCCCCCCCCCTTTGGATACGGTCTTTCTGGCTTTGAACTTGTAGCAGTCCTCCTGTCTCAGCCTACCAGGTGTTGGAATCATAGGTAGGAGCCACACACAGGATCTCACCATACACCCCAGGCTGGTCTAGATTCTTCTGCTTCAGCTTCCTGAGTGCTGGGATTATACAAGTATCACAACTGGCCTGTCTCTAGTCTTAAGATGTACAGCCCACCAAGTGACCCAGTAGTCCTAAGGGTGACCTTTAGCATCTGAAAGCTGAGGCTGGGAGGTGTGGGTCTTGGGCTAGTGGGCAAGCAGGATGTCTAAGCAGTGAGCCCACTGCTGAGAATAAATGAAGCAAACAGCCTAGAGCACCCAGAAAGCATTGCTGTGGGGTATCCACCAGAAAAGACTACTTAGACAAAGGCTTACACCAACAGAAAGTCTAAGCTGGTGATAACACTGGGTATCTGAAATGCCAGTGGAGCCCTGAGCCTTTTTCAGTGTGAGCTTTTAAGCACAAAAACTCTACCTTGGGTTGACACACTTCAGTTAGCAAGAAGTTAACCAGAAGCAGAACTACAGAAGCCAAAAGCAAGGTTAATACATGTAGAGACTTTCCTAGAACTATGGACTTTAAAGGATTAGGTCTTTGTTTTTGTTTTGACAGGTGATGCTGTCTATGTGCTCAGTGTTAGTCTGAATGGCACTTCTTTCATGGAGTCAGTTGTGCTAAGGTCTGGAGGTCTGTTACAGCATGAGCTTGTGAAAGCAGCCATTGATTTACTTGGGGAGTTCTACCCTTCCAGGGGCCTGAGGTAATATGGCAAGTGGGGAGCATCTCCTCTGTGTCCTGGGCCAGGGCTGTAGGAGAACCATGGATGGGCATAGCACCAATAGACACACTTGATCCTGGAGGGCGACTATCCCTGCCCAAGTTGGCCTAGTGAAAAGAAACCTCAGCATCTTTGCATGTGTTTTTCCTGCCTGGTGGGAAAGCCAGGGGACACACGGATCTTTCAATGTGTCTGTGCAAACTCAGAAGAAGCAGACTTTACTTAGAAGGTGCTGGGATGGGCCTGATTGGTCCGTCAAGGATACAAGGATGGTAGGAACAAGACTAGCCTGGGGTCTATAGCCAAGTTGGTGACAGTTTCAGCTGCCATCAGGTGTATGAGCTGGGTTTTGGCTGTGAGCAGGCAAGAGAGAGAGGAATGTAGTGTATGTGTGCTAACTGATGACCTCTTCTGGAGGGCACTAGCTGTGTCCTATGCCTCCAGCCAAGAGACCCATGGGAAAGTGCCAGTGCCCCGTGCTTTCACTACCAGTAGAACGTGGCTATACAAAAAACTGGACTGAGATCTCCCAGACTTCAAGTTAGCAATGTAATTAGGTGCACATCGACCAGCTGAGAAAACACACAACAGGCCCATCTAACTATAACTAGCACACAGTTCAGGGACCTGAAGTGTTGGAATTGACCTGCTGCAGTCACTATTGAACACAGGGACTTGTCTTCTGCACTCTATAGGAGTCCTGTGCCTACCCAAATATGCAGTGTGGGGTTTTTTGGGCTGTGGGGTTGGTGGTTTTTTGAGATAGGGTCTCATGCAGCTTACACTGGACTTGGATTCATTAGCCCCTGCCTGGAACTACCCCTCCCACTCAGCCTCCCAAGTGCTGGGACTACAGGTGGATACACCACGCCACACCTGGCTTTTTGTTTGAGATGAGGTCTGTGTAGCCCAGGATGGTTTTAAAATGCAGCGATCCTCCTGCCTCAGTCTCCAGTGTTGGGACACCAGGAACGAGCAGCATGCCTGCTTTATTTTGACGGACAAGGACTATACATCATCTCTACAGTCCATTTAAACTTTGGGAGTCTGGGAGCTGTGGACTTCCACACATATGCCCGCCATGCTGTTCTAGCCACACCCAAAAACCTCCAGCCCTGTCACTTGGCTTTGGCTCAGTGAAGCCTTGGTGATAATGAGTCCTGTGGCTGGCAAGTATCCCTCAGGCCAGCCTCCACTCAGCACATGACCTGGGATTGTGTGGGCTTCCTAGCCCACATCTTCTAGCAAACCAGTACTGCCTTTACATCAGCTACTAGAAGGCCATGGTCCATGGTGGCTACATCACACATTCCATCACATCATGTTCCACTGTCTGGTTTGAAATATGGTCCACACAGGGACCTTGTGACCAGAAGGCAGTCAGCTGGATGACTCAGAAATGATTGTGGAATTCAAAAATAGGAAGCTAAAAATATGCAGGGCAGCTGGCTTCTAGGAACAGGCGGGTCTGTGGTTCCAACCCTTGGTGGGGGATGGGCAGGAGCCAAGGTCCTGCTAGGAGCTGAGGAGTGAAGGGTAGGCAAGGTGAGTGTGGGCTCTGACTGGCTATTAACAGGAGAGTGGGACTATGTTGACGCGTCCAGGACAAATCTGGGCACAAGCTGGGTAGATGTAGATTTGTGGAGTGCTGTCCCTGATGATACCCATGCTTTAATCCCCCAACATGGTTGAAGGGACTCTGTACAAAGGGATAAATTCCTGTGGTAGCCCACAAGATCTGTAGCAGCAGCAACTGAGACCCGATACTAAACTGTCACTTGAGGGGAGGGACTCCTGAGCTATTAAAAAAAAAAAGTGACATCCAAGTCCACCAGTCTGTGACTTGCCACAGGACACTTAAAAGGCATCAGCAAGAGTCTCAGTGGGGTTGTCCAGGCTGCCTAGAGTGTGGGCCCTAAAGACTTGGGCCTGGGTGAGACTGCACACTGGTGACCATGGCACTTGAGAAGCAGAGGCAGGATGATCAGGAAGGAGTTCAAGGTCACTTCAGTTATAAGGCCAACCTAAGTTATATCTGGGTTACATGACACCCTATTTCCAAACAAACCAAAAACCCTCAAAATGGGGGGAAAGGAGGAGAGACTAGAGAGGAGCACAGCAAACACCCACCAGAGACCTTTGACCAGGCCTCTGCATATACTAGGGAGCCAAGATAAGAGGGTTGTGGCTACAGCCAGGTGGGATATGAGGTCAGAGAAAACTGGACGAGTCCCCAGAGTGGTCAGGAGAGGCCTCGATGGCCAAGAGTTTGAGCAAGGCAGATCAGCCAGAGGGATAGTGTTGGACTGAAAAGCACAGTAGGCCCAAGGCTGGGGAGGGTGCAGCCCAAGGAATGCAGTAGTGAAGGGACCAACAATAACGGGGAAGGGGGTGAGGAGATCCCACGTGTGCTGAGGGGTCATCTGCCTGGTGGGGTGGGTGGAGCAGAGAGGAGAAAAGGAGGGCACAGGACCTCAGTGCCTTTGACCCATGTTAGAGCACAGGCCCCAGGCTGCCATTGGTGAAGCGAACACTAGGGTTAGGACATGAAGTGCCGCTCTTCACTGTCAGGTGAACGCTGTGTCTGGGAGCCTCAACTCCAGACATGAACTTCTGAGACAGTGTCTTTCCACATGGTCTCAGCTGGTCTGTAGTTTGTTATGTAGGCTAGGCTGTTCTCGAACTAACAGATCAGAGATCCACCCGCCTCTATCTCCCTGAGTGCTATGATCAAAGGTGTACCCAGCCATAGGTGTGGCAAGTCAGGGCCCCTTGCTGATGTGAAGCAAACCAGACAGGAAATCCCACCACCCCATTCACAACTAGCACCTAGGGCTGTAAGGACACTGTAGTCAGCCTGCCCTACTTCTGAGATTAGAAGGGTCCTTAACATAGGGGAAATCCTGGGCGACAGGTGTTTCCAGGTAGAGACACTTGCTTTTGTTTGTGTGAGACGGTCTCCTGTGTAGCTCTCATTCACGTTGCCATGGAGTGCAGCAATTCTCAACTCTCAAGTGCTAGGATTTCAGAGGGAGCCCCCACATCTAGGCCCAGGGCACTTGTCTGAAGGCCATGGTAGAAACAGGGAGGCCACCCTTTAAAGCAGTCCTTCCCGGAGGCAGCAATTTGGGGAGACAATGCATTTTAGAATCAGTGCTCGCAGGAGCTGATGTGCCAGGGTGAGGTGTGCCAGGCTCCTGCAAGGACCACTTGTTTGGGCGGCAGGTGCTGTTCTCTGATGGCCTCCAAGGAAATGGGACAGATGTCCTCGGGCCCAACTGTGAGGCAGCCAAGTGCTCTGGACTGAGTTGGTGTCCTTCCCCGGGGAACAACAGGAAGGCTCTCAAACTTTCAACACGTGTGCCATTAGCTCCAACTTCCTCCTTGCGAGACCAGGGACTTCTCTCAGGGGAAGGAGCAGCAGTGGAGAACATGAAGGGAAACCTCCATGTGTCCCCAAAGCTCAGGGAGCAGAGGTTCTATACATACAGCTTTGCTTCAGGAGCCAGTTCAAGCTTGTGAGCGGGCTCTGGCCTGGATCCACAAGGTCTTCTTTCTTGGCACTGGGAACCAAGGCACTTGGTGATGCAGCACAGAGTGTATCAAGTCCACAGTGACTCCTGACAGGAGCAGCAGGCTGGTCACAGTGCTTCTGAGGAAGACACGGTTGGGTCCCACAGCACTGGGGACACAACCTCACTCTCACTCACAGACCCCTGGGCCTGCACTGCTTCTTCCACCAGGTCAGCCACCAGGTTCAGCCGGCAGCCCCGCAGTGCCTTGACCAGTCCAGCCACCGTGGCTTGCTCCCTCTCGGCAATCTTCCAGACCCTCAGAGTCTCCCTTACCTGATCACTCAGGCTTCGGGGATACCTCTCCTCAACCCCGTCAATTTTGGCCTCAGACAATTTCAGCTGACGGGCCAGTCTCTTCCAGTCTCTCCCCACATTGTCACACACGATGTCAAATGCCACCCGCAGATCTAAAAGGGAAAACAGCAGCATGACTTACAGAGGAGCTCGGGGAAGTCTTCCCATGGCCACCACATGTGGACCTGAGCACTTCAAAGCCAACACCACTAAAGCCAGGCAGAGACACTTAGCAGCCCAGGAGCTATTTCAAGAGACCTACACTGGCCTCCTAACATGTCTAGTCCCACTCCCTCAGAATGGGTCACAGCGAGCTACAGCTTGAAAGACCAGAAACTGAGGAGAGGCTGGGGAGTCAGAGGGAAAAAAAAAACTAGAGAGTTTAGTGGCCACCTTCACACCCTCAATAGTAGGCTGGCCAAAGTCCCCCAAAGCTGCATTCACCTCATTCTACACTATGACCTTTGCTGGTTTGACTGGAGACCACACTCGGGAGCACCTGCTAGGCATAAGAAGGCTGAAGGAGATGACTAAGGGAGCCCTGGGCAGTGGCTGAGAACCCCTTACTAGATTCCTGCAACAATACCAAACATTTAAATGCCTTGGAGATGTGAACACACAACCCGTTTTCTTGTGTATCTCATACACACTGGCAGAGGAAACAATCCATGTTGCAAATAGTTCTGTGTGTGATACAAACTGTCACAGCATGTAGTGTCAGTACCTGGGGTCTGATTTTGTCTGCACTTTAGATTTCAGAGCTTTTGACTATGGAGACCTTCATGGTCCCAAAGGCTCCTATGAGGAAGGCTTAGTCTCTCAATGGTGGATCCAATCATGGAAAGGAGAGTGGATCATGATAGCTTTGAGTCCCCTGGTGGTTCAGTCCACTCATTCCTAATTTGATGGCGTTACTGGGAGGTGGTGGAAACCTTCAGAGTCAGGCCTACTCAGAGGCAGGCCTACTCAGAGGCAGGCTTACTCAGAGGCAGTACAATGACTGTATTGTTGGGGGAGTGTATTTTGTCCCACGCTCCTTCCTGTCACTGCTTCCTGGTGGCCATGAGGTAATCAGCTTTGCTCCACCATGCCCTCAGCTGCTTTGATTGCCTGCCTCACTGCAGACCAAGAGCAATGGAGCCAGCCAATCAGGAGCTAAAGACACCTTTGCCCCTTTCCATCGCTTCTTGGGTACTTGTCACAAGTGAGGAAGAGTCGAACAGATGCTTAACCTGTATCCACACCCCAAGGCCAGACTGGTGTGGCTCTGCTGTGATTGCTATCCACTACTGTGCATTATGGGAAGCCATAGTGCCTCCTCTCTCTACTACAAAACGGAAGTAGCAGAGGATAACCAGGCACTGTGGACTCTGGACCGGGGAGCTGGGCCGCGGCACAGTTCTCCTTTGGCTAGGAAGCACACTGCTTGGACAAAGGCACTCCCACTACGGAAATGGTGACGAGCAGCAGGCACACTTGACCTTTGCCTACTCTCTTCAACTCTTCCCTCCTTGGGGTTAGGGAGCCTTAGCCACATCCATTTCTTAGCTGAGGTTTCAATTTACCCGGAGAGTGTGGGGGTGGGGAGTGGGGAGTGGGGCGCAAGCACTATAGGTCTCAGGTGAGTTAATCTTGGTGCTGGGGTAAGTGGTAGCAGAGCGAGCGCCTCCTTAGCACCAGCAATACCTTAGGTTCAACTCGGGCACTGCAAGCAAGACAAGCTCACGATCTCCCTAGTCCCGGCTCGCCCTCCGGAAAAGTGGGCGTGCCCCAGAGTCCTTCCTAGTAGGAGCAGCAAAGGGAACCCTGAGGCTAGGGTAGTGGCCAGGCTTCCCCGCCCATTCCCTGCCCCTGGGCCTCCTCCCGCCCCCTAGCCCACCTGCCTCCCCCGGCGAGGCCGCGGCCGCGGTCCCCGCTTCGAAGTCGTCTAGGCGTTGCAGTAGGTCGTGTCTGCGCAGCGAGGCCAGCAGCTCGCGCAGCAGCCCGGTGCGGGCGCGCTCCAGATCGTTCTGCTCCAGCAGCACTGAGAACAGGTCCAGGCCACTCTGCACGCGCTCCAGCTTTCGTTTGCCCACGCGCTCACGGCACAGGAACTTTAGCTCCATCAGATCGCTGTTCGACAGGCTGCCGGACAGCGAGTGCAGCAGTACCAGGAAGGGGTCCATGGCAGTGACGCGCCAAGTTACCCCTCAGCAATTCCACACAGGAAGTCACCGCGGGCGTCCCCGCCCAGTATCTCGCGAGAACTCCAGGTCCCACGCATGCGCCTCGAGTGTGGCCGTGCCCGCTTCCGCCCGGGCTAGCAAAGGCTGACTCTGTAGTTTCGACGCTTGCGCCACAGTGGCTTCAGCGCTTGCGCACGGTGGTTCCCGCGCCTGCGCCGGCGGTGTGGCGGCGATGGTCTGGGTGGGATGTTGAGGTTCCAGATTTGCCTCTGCGGAGCTGTGCAGCCCTACTGTGTGTGGGGTGGGGGTGGGGGGGGGCAGCTGCAGGCTGCAGGGATGCTTACTGCGGCAGGATCACGTTCAAGCACGATTTAAAAAAAAAAAAAAAAAGATTTATTTATGGGCTGGAGAGTCGGCTCAGGGGTTAAGAGCACTGGCTGGCTGTTCTTTCAACTCTGAGCGCCCACGTGATGGCTCACAACTATCTGTAACTCCAGTTCCAGGGGCTTTGACACCCTCTTCTGGCAGGCACACATGTGGTACACAAACAAAATACCCACCATACATATAAAATAAAACATTTAAAAAACATTAAGAAATATTTATTTTTGTTACGTGTATGAGCATTTGTAGTTTAAGTGCCCCACGTTGGTGCAGAACCCACGGAGGCCAGAAGAGGGTTCGGATTCTTTAGACCAATGGTTCTCAACCTTCCTGATGCTGTGACCCTTTAATTCAGTCCTAATATTGTGGTGACCCCCAACAATAAAATTATTTTCGTCGCTATTTCATAACTGTAATTCTTGTTACTGTTATGAATCATAATGTAAATATCTGTGTTTTCTGATGGTCTTAGGCAACCTCTGTGAAAAGGTCATTCGACCCAAAAGTGTTGTGACCCACGGGTTGAAAAACACTGTCCTAGAACTAGCATTACAGTTGGTTGTGAGCAGGTGCATGGGTCCAGGTCCCCTGAAAGAGCAACAAAGAGGTCTTAACTGTTGAGCCATCTTAGGGACCCAGTAATATGTATATTAAAATCAGTAGAAGAGCCGGGCGGCGGTGGGAGATCCAGGACAGGCACCAAAACTACACAGAGAAACCCTGTCTCGAAAAACAAAAACAAACAAGTCAGTAGAAGAGAGGAACAAGAATATTATCATCGGAAAAAGCTGATGTACACTGGAGGCTGTGGAGACGTTAACTGCCCTAATTTGAGCTTTCATTAACAATACAATATGTTCCCCATAGCTATTCATGAATTAGAAATAAAGTGGGGGCTTGTTCAAGGGCTCCAGTGGGCCAAGGGCCTGATGCACAATCATGAGGACCTGAGTTCAGATTCTGATGCCTACATAAAAAGCCAGAAGAGATGGTGCCCATCTGTAACCCCAACCCTGGTGGAGACAGGTGGATTCCTGGCGCTCAGTGACCAGCCATCCTAGCTGTGTGGCTCAACTTCAGGGTCAGTGAGACCTGTTGCTGGGGGGCTTCTCTCCAGGTTCCTCAAGCCCCACAGTACCACAATTCACTTATAAAATAATCACTCAGACGCTTATATCACTTATAAACTGTATGGCCATGACAGGTTTCTTGCTAACTGTTCTTTTATCTTAAATTAACCCATTTTTATAAATCTATACCTTGCCACGTGGCTGGTGGTTTACCAGAGTCTTCACATGCTGCTTGTCCTGGCGGTGGCTGCAGTGTCTCCCCACTCAGCCTTCCGCTTCCCAGAATTCTCCTCTCTCCTTCTCCCACCTACTTCCTGCCTGGCAACCTACTTCCTGCCTGGTCACTGGCCATCAGTGTTTTATTTATATAGAGCGATATCCACAGCAGAGACCCAGCTGTGCACAGCATACCCGGCAGACTGCAGCTGTGCACCACCAGACCCAGCTTATTTTGTTGTTGTTGTTCTGGGTGAAAATCTCATGTTAGATGACCGTTTTTTCAGTCTGTTCATAAGATCCTGCAATAAAAATGTTCATTATTTTGATGGAATCAGGTGCACGTGTCTTTCTTTTTATTGTGCTAATAAAGAAAAGGGGTGAGGGGGAGCCTCTCTGGTGGTGGTGACCAGAGCATGCCTCTCAAGAAGTATTTCCTTCAGCTTGGTGGTGGTGGTGTACGCCTTTAATCACAGCACTTGGGAGGCAGAGGCAGGCGGATCTCTGTGAGTTTGAGGCCAGCCTGGTCTACAGAGTGAGACCCAGGACAGCCAGAGCTGTGACACAGAGAAACTTTGTCTTGAAAAACAAAACAAACAAACAAAAAGAAGTAACTCCTTCATCCCTGTCCAGGAGAGAAGAAACAGAAGCAGTGGCAGCCGTGCAGAGCCTGGTTCCCTTTCCACCGCTGTGAAATGCCCAGGGCATGGGAAATCCCCTCTCTCTGGCAACACGCAAACGGAAGTGATGCTGACTGCTCCAACAGGGAGAACAAGGGTTCCAGAAGGATGGTCCTTCAGGAGGAAGGAGCACGCAAAGTCCCAAAACAAGATGAGCTGGAGGCCATCCCAACAGGCACAAAGAGAAAGGAAGGTGGGTGGATGGGAGGCAGGAAGGGAGGAGGAAGGAAGAGGACATGAACAAGAGAAGAGAGGAAGGAGAGGAGAGAGGAAGGAAAGGAGAGAGTGAAGAGGAAAGAGGGGAGGGGGAAGAGGAAGGAGAAGAGAGAGGAAGGAGAAGAGAGAGGAAGGAGAGGAGAGAGGAAGGAGAGGAGAGAGTGAAGAGGAAAGAGGGGAGGGGGAAGAGGAAGGAGAAGAGAGAGGAAGGAGAAGAGAGGAAGGAGAGGAGAGAGGAAGGAGAGGAGAGAGTGAAGAGGAAAGAGGGGAGGGGGAAGAGGAAGGAGAGGAAAGGGGAGGAGGAAGGAGAACAGAGAGGAAGAGGAAGGAGAGGAAGAGGAAGGAGTGGAGAGGGGAAGAGGAAGGAGAGGAGAGGGGAAGAGGAAGGAGCGTAGAGAGGAAGAGGAAGGAGAGGAAAGAGGAAGAGGAAGAGGAAATGGAGAGAAGGCTTCAGCATCTTTACTGGTTCCGTGGACGTAAACTCACCTTGTCCAGTCTCTAAGTTTCTTTTTTTTTTTAACAT